CATCTTGGTTGACAAAGAGGGAGAATTAGGGAAGCCACCTTGAAGCAGCTGGCTTTTCAGCTGGCCAAAAAAGTATAAGCTCCGTGAGGCATGCGTTCTGCCTCTTCCAGACTGCTCGATTCCCAGCACCTAAAACAGTGCTTGGCATAGTGATCAGTAGATATTTGCTACCTAATGACGGAAGGAATTTGTGTGGGCTGGGAAGGACATGCAGGGAGAAGGGCATTGGTGCAAAGGAAACAACGTAAGCAAAATCACACTAATGAAGCGTTGCAGTTTAATTTGGCAGAAGCGAATGAGAACAGTGGGAGATTGAATTAAAACCACAGAATGGGGTTAGATCACAGAGGCCTTGCCGGTCCTGGGAGGTACCATGATTTTTTTCTATAAGAACTGAAGAACTCCAAAAGCTTTCAGCAGCGATAAGAGGAGAACTTGGTACCGGAAAGGTGAGTGTAACGGTACTAATAGCTGATTGAGGCAATCAACCACTTGGTGGATGGAGGCTAGAGACCAGTTTGGATATGTTGTAAAAACCTGGACAAATGGTGATGAGGGCCTCCATCAGGTTATTGTCACTTGGTCCTTTCATCAGTAGTATTTCCACTGTACGAGAGTAGGTATTTGTAGGCGTTACCATAGATGTGTATTTATTTGTACTGTAATTATTTTATTTGTCTATCTCCTTTTCTTCACTAGCAATATTTAGCACTGGTGGTGGACACTTCTAATCATCCCCCAGCTTCCCTTTATTACAGTAATAAAACACTTCAAGTTTTAGCTGGACACAGAGCTACCAGTCAGAGACTACATTTCCCAGCCTCTCCTCCAACTAGATGTGGCCATAGACTGTGTTGGTGATGGATTTGAGCACAAGTGAGGAGTGCAACTTCTGGCATGTGCCCTTCTAAGGAAGCTGCTTGCTCTCCATTTTTTCCTGCCTTTTCTTGCAGGTTGCTCCTTGCCCATTTTTCTCTCCTCCTGCATGAAGTAGGAGCTGGAGACTATGCTCTTTTGGAACTACACAACTTGCTTAGCCCTTTTCCTGATGAAACAGGTACGAAGGTCTGGAGTTGTTCCAAGGGTCAATCTTTCAAAGGCTTTTGCAAAAAGGGAAAATATAGGCCTGTGACTAAATTCTAGCCAGTGGGATGCGAGTGAAAGTGGGTGCTGTGTTTTGGGTCACGCCCACAAAAGGAAGCCCTCTGCTTCCTCTTTCCTCCTTCCTGAGGATAGGGATCTGACCCTGGTGGTGGTGAGCTCACCTTGACCCACGGCATCATCCTACAGGATACAAAGCAAGAATATACAAGGCTCCTATGTCTCTGGATCTATCTCATGGGGAAGCAGTGCCCAACCTTCTGGATAACCTACAAACCTGGACTTGTATATATGAAAGAAACAACTTCCATCTTAGTTAAGCTATTGTTATTTGGTCTCTGTTAAAGCAGCCAAGTCAATATCTTAATATATGGTTCATAAACATTAACCATTACCACAATGTGTGGAATGAAGATATGATTCGTAAGTATAAGAGTTTCTATATAAGTAAAGAAATATTACAGTATTATTTCTCCCATTCCCATAAACTTTGAGCTTAAAAAAATCTATAGTCTACTGAAAAGGAAAGCTATAATATAAAGCTTCAGTTGAAGTCAACTTCTCTATCATCATAACCTTTGGTCCATATTCAAACTTGCTTTATGATAAGGTAGATTAGCACAGAAAGCATCTACTGTCTATTGAGATGAAGTCAATACAACACTGGGCTACAGGTTTCTGGTTATGGGCTCTATCATGCCACAAACAAGGCCTTTAAAGGGAAAAGGAACTATGAACTCTTCAAATTCTGTATCTCCTATCATTCTTTTCTGTCAAACATTATAACAATAAAAATTTGAATATTATTCTCTGATTGCAGAACTTGTGTCATTGCTTGTTTCCACTACAGAAGGCAACAACAATTTCAAGGAAGTAAAGGAACTACTTACTACTGAAGAACAGCATATGCTATTGGAATTTAAATAACCAGCCATTTACATTTATCATTATTTTGTAATTAATTTTGCATTGTCACATATAGATTATGACTGTTTAAATAAAGATTTCTGCTTGCATAGCCCATCTGATCAAATCTGTTTATGATCGAGTTTGTACCCTTATATGACTACAGCACTCTTAAAGAAACATTGGGAATCTCCATAGAACTCCTTAGGGTATGGTTCTATATGTCTTTCGTGGAGGAGCACCAGAATGGTGACATTTAATTAGCAAGTATTGGAAAGAAGGAACTGAAGGCAAGTCCCAATAATAGAAAAATGGTTTAGGGCTTCGCTTTTGAAACAAGAGGTTGTAATTAAGACAAGCTAGAGATTGGCATATTATTTTCTAACAGAAATAAACCTTAAGAAAGAGGGGTATTTTGACTTTATAACGCCGAAAGGTTTATACGGTTGAAGACAGAAACAGTGAAATGTAAATACTGGGTATGAAAATGAAAGGTTTTATTTCCTGTACCACTGAAGTTAGTTTGCATAAACAGTACTGTTTATCTCTCTTTTGTCAATACTTTAGTGTTGTTGTTGGCGGTGGTTTTCCTTGGAGTATTAAGGGCAAGAACTCTATTTTGCTGATCCCAAACCCCAAAGTTGTGATTAGCAAGTTCTTAGTTTAGATTAAAAAAAAAAAAAGGTGTTGTTGATTGAATGAATGAGGGGACGAGTAATGTTTGTCTCTAACAATTATGATTTCCACTAAATGAAGTGAAAGAATGACATCTTATTTTGAGGATCCCAGTGGAGACATAGATATTACACTACAGGATTTTCCTTAAAAATATGGCAATAAGAAGATAATTTATCTCAAATAAGTTGTTTAAAAAGAAGGCTGCTTCATAATCAATGGTTTTTTGAGTCCTGTAAGCATATTTGTTACACTCGGCAATACTGAAATACTTGATTTTCCAGAATTATGATTTTAAGTATAAGGCTATGTTTTAAAAAAAATAAACATGATTATGAACATGAGTTTAAAAAAAAAGAGGAAGAATCTGACCAATTTTTTTACGTCTTTGAAAAAATATAACATTGAAAAAATCACTAAAATTATAATCATAAACTCTGTTTAGAAGAAAAGCAAATAATTAGCTTTAAGGTTATGATACATTGTATTGCTGATAAATGAGTCATCTTGGCTCTCATCACCACCTATTCACGTGAAATACAGGGAGAAAGACTGCAGTTACAACAAGCAGAACTTTTACTCTATTTCCAAAAATTTTAACTACTGTAAATCAACTGACACATTCCAACAACCAGAATATCATTTTGTGTAGCAACATGGGAATCTGGCCTAGTGGTCTAGAAGTAATATGTTTCATTCATGTGTTTTAAGGATGTGGTTTAGAAAGAAGGTATTAGGTTTACAACATTTACGTAAAACAAATAACGTGACACTGGAAAGCAACATTATTCATTTAACATAATGAGTTGCTATACAATAAGTCAGATCCTCCCAGAGTGTAAATTACACAAATTTGAAAGCTGTATTTATTATTTAATACCTCATTCCCAGACAGGTGCTTACTCCGTGGTAAAACTTGGTTTAGCATACCAAATTTAAAGCTGTTTTTTTTCCTATACCTATCGTGCATGTAGCTAAACTATTTGTGTGCAATTTAAACCTTTTTCCCCCAACGGTATTGATAATATTTTCTTTTTACTACCACAAAAAATAGAAATGAAATACGAATTGTAGTAACAGAGATACTTGAAGTGAAGCTTGGCTTGTTTAAAATTAGCAGTTTAAAAGGTCTATCTGGAAATAGACTTCATATTCAGGTGTCTTTCAGTACTCTAACATGCTGTTTTCTTTTTGTGAGAAACAGTGCCCTTAGAGTAAATGCTAGGATATTCTAAAATTTCCTAGGCTAAATTAATGAGATTTCCTATTGTAGATTATTTAATATTTATGTTTCCAGCTGTACATCAGCACATGTAAAATTTTACAAGAGAATTTAGGATTTCTAAGAACTCACTTTCAATGAGGCTTTTTGCTGACTGGGCTAGTTTAGGAATCAAGCAAAGTGGATCTTTCTTCTTTGTGTAAATAGTTTAAGAGTGATGTGCGGTGGTCTAGAAACCATGAGTTATTAGGAAGGTGCTTATAAATGGGTATAGTACATCACTTGTCCAAGATCCTTTCTAACAACCTATCCTGGACCTCCACACTCTGTTGGGCACCATCTGCTACTGGCTGAATAATTGCCATTTTTGGCAAAGACCACCCAGGACATGGGCTCCGAATCCATCCTAGGGCCAGCCAGCCTCTACAATCTGATTCGGAGCGAGTGCATTCAGTTTAGAAAGATCACTTACGACTGAGTTTTTCATCATGGCTTTGACTGTGAAGCCCTCAGAAACCCGGGAGTGAGGCTGGTGCACCGGGAGCGGCTGTTGTGCCAGCAGCTTGGTCCTCTTCGGCATCTTGTCTAGGCATTTGTTTAAGCTCAAGGTCTCTTTTTCTGCCACCATCTTCCTAGAAAATGTCTTGTTCTCATAAAACGTGTAGTAAAAGAGTCAGTGGGTTTTACGGATGTGAGAAGGAGGTCGGGAAAAAATGTAAAAAGGCGCGTTAATGGTAGAACTTCAACCCCCTCGTAGTGCCCAGGTTGATCCAGATGTTTGGCAGCTCCTAGGTGAAGGGAGTAGAGGGGAGGGGAGGGGCGGGAAGAGGGCTGGACCGTGGCTAGAGCTGCAACAAGCTTCTAAAGGTTAGCCTCCCGGTTGCTAAGCGACGCGTCAACACGGCGGCCGAATGGTCCCGCCCCCCGTGACGTACGTTTCCTGGGCCTCAATCCCGAAGGGCGGCAGGCGGCGGGAGGCGGGCGGGGGTGAGGAGAAACTACGCATTAAAACTACGACTCCCAGAAAGCCCCGGGCTGCGCGCCGTTCGCGCGTGCGCATTCCGACGGCCGGGCACAGGGAGGGGAGTCTTGGACGATTTAACCCCGGAGCGCCGCTGGTGGAAGGCGCGGGTGGGCTTCGGCGCCCTGGTAGTCCTCGCCCTGTCCGGCAGCCTCCACCTGCCCAGTGACCATGATCGGTACGTGGGTACCTGCCAGGTACAGCCTCTCTGCGCCGTCCCGCGCCCTGCCGTGGCGCCACGCCGGGCCTCGGCCGACGGGGACCCCAGGGTGCCTGCCAGTGCCAACTGTCAAGGGCAGGGCGGCAGCGTCCGCGCCGTCCTCTGCCCGCGCCGGCGGCTTCCCAGTGCCCGCCGTGGTCCAGGAGAATAAGTGCGTGTGTGTTCTAAGCCCCCACCCCGCCCCTGCTGTGACAAGCTTCCCACTGAAGACAACCTGGCGAGGGACCCTGGGGTGCTCCTCCCCAGGTGGACGCTGGGTTCCACTATCCCACAGCGAGTGCACTGCTCAGTCAGACCTGTGGGGGTCCGTGGGAAGGCCTTCCTGTCCGCCCCCATTTCCATCCCTCAGGGAGCCTTGGTCGGTGTCTTCCAGTTTAGGACAGATTGGGACCCACTGTCTGTAGGATTCTTTAAGGGAGACCCTAGCGAAGCATTGACTCTAATGGAAGGTACCTGGTGATGATGGTTGTCATCAAAAGAAATTCCTGCAGGTGGATTTAAACTTCTTGCTCCCTGGGATTTTTTCTTTTAAATCTCTCATTGAAGGTCTGAGATGAACGATTAAGAGTAAATCATAGCAAGGGTTAAAACCTTTTGCATAGTGAATCATTAATTCACTATGCAAAAGTTGTTTTTTTTTTTTTCCAAACACAGAATAACCTAGGTGCATTTTTGTGAATAAAGCTTTGGAAGTGGCTACTAGAATTGTTTATAAGCACTGTGATGTATAAGATTAGCAAAGTTCCTCTCTTCCAGGGTTGTTAAACCAAAAGTTATTTTAGGGATTATCTCTGAAAATTAGTGGAAATGCACAATATGATTAGAAAACATTGCTAGTTTGGAGTTTATTATGACAGAGACTTGTTTTAGATTATGCATTGAAGATTTAGTGAGTTTATTTTAGGATTATTCTTGACAGGCGCCACTTACAAAACACTTTTGATTGCAGCGAGTGCATCTGAAGTCAGATGTGGTTTGTCCAGAAAGATGAGAGGTGGATTTTTAAAATATGTAAGTTTGTATGCAGTGATAAACTCTTCTTAAATCTTTTATTTATGAAAATAATGTTAAAATGTAAAACATTCTACCTGTAACTAGGAGAATCATGCCAGTTAACTGACACTGTCTTTGCAGCAATGATAAAACCTAAAGATGTCCAACTTTTCTTACCTTTCTAGCCTGGTATAACTTTTGGTGAATGACTTTTGAAAGCTGTCAAATTAATAAAAATGTGTAAATATTTAGGAATCTTTTGAACCTTTTTAGGTGGCAGTTACACAAGATCCACTTGTAAACACAACTCTGATCTGAATCAGAAAACCAAGTAGAAGTTTTTCAAAATCCATACTATCACTATTTTATAAGAAAAAATAGTCTATACCTTATTTTGAAGACAATTGCACAAATTTTAATTCAACTTAATGTAATGCGTGAATAATTTTAAAAGAAACATTTATGGTAAAGCTATATAAAGAAGACAGGAATTTAAAGATCTAAAAATCAGGGGCCGGCCCCGTGGCATAGCGGTTAAGTGCGCGCGCTTTGCTGCTGGCGACTCGGGTTCGGATCCCGGGTGTGCACTGACGCACCGCTTGTCAGGCCATGCTGTGGCGGCGTCCCATATAAAGGGAAGGAAGATGGGCACGGATGTTAGCCCAGGGCCAGTCTTCCTCGGCAAAATGAGGAGGATTGGCAGATGTTAGCTCAGGGCTGCTCTTCCCCACACACACACAATAAATAAAGAAATATTTAAAAAAAAAAAGATCTAAAAATCATCATAATTCTAAATTCTAATAAATGATTATATGAATAACTTTATTAGGAGGAAATATGTTTAGGCAGTTTAGTTTTTATTTGGGATTTAGGGCCACAAGAAGGAAGAGTACGGTGTGGTTGATTAGACAATGTCTAGTAATGACATGGAGAATATGAGGTGGATTTAAAAGGCATTCTTTCCCATACTCCAGCTATTGTTTTACATAGTGCAGATAAATGTGTGTTACAACATAAATAATTAAATCCGTGCCCCTTCCCAGGACAAGTACCTTCCATATAAAACCATGTGGACAGTGTGCAATACATTATTTTATACAACTAGTTGCATTGCCCAATTCTGTTGGTGGGCATATTTTAATAAAAATATTAACTGCCAGTTTTGGACTTGGTTGTGTTGAATAATGCTAAAGGTTAGTGAAAGTGGAAGCAAGTGAAGGGACATCTTAGAGGGATGGGTTTCCTGTTTCCGCAACTAAACTTGAGAGCCAAGAAAGATGTGAGTCTCTGCGCAGTGATAAGCTGGAGAACAAATACACATGTATCTGGGGATAGTTTTTTCTGTTAAAGACATGCGTGCTACTCATACTTGCCCCTTTCATGCCTGTGCTCTCTTTAATTGCTACACCCTCGTTAATGCAAATAGTACTCTTCTACTTTATTTGAATCTTCCATCACTTTTGAGGAAAAACAAAAATGGGTTTCTCAGTGGAATAGGAGTAAAGGAGATTGACTATTACCTCACTACCAATAAAATTACCTTCCTTTTACTTTCTTAAAACCCGGGATTCCTTCTTGGCACGGAGACTGTTTCCAAAGTACTTACATTCCCCACTTGGATTATGATTGATATGTTAAATGCCCTGACCCAGACAGCTACAGAAACATAATCTAATTGAAGTCGATGAAAAACTATAACTTTGTGAGAAGTGTGGAGAAGGACTTGAGGATAATCTAAAGCAAAATAGAAAAGCTTAAGAAAATTCAACTTAGAAAAATGTAATTTTGGACACCTCTATTAAAATTTATTTCACCCTTTTTTAAAATTAGCAATTCTTTGTATTTAAAATTGAATTTTAGTAGTGATATTTGAGGTATATTCTAAATGTCCTGCAGAACTGGATTCAGGTATTTGAGTAGTATCAGATATTAAAGTGCTTGGATATTTATACAACAATGTTGCCAATATTGAAATTCAAATTCAATGTCTTATTCTTTAAAAAGGTTTGTGATTGAGTTAAAAAAAAAAAACAATAATTAGAACATAGTCTGTTTTGTACGTCGTTTAACTTAACATCTCTTAGAAAACTTGTATATCTGCATGTACAGATCCACCTCACAGTAATTCCCGCCTAGTGTTTTATTTTCTGGATATATACAAATTATGCAAATACTCTTCAATAAATGAGCATTTAGTAGGTTTACAGACAATTGCTATCATCAGGAATGTTTGTGTCCATATCATTTTATTTGAATGTTTAAGTATATATGTAAAGTAAAAATCTTATTGCAGTTTCTGGGTGGATTTTTTAGTCAAAGGGTTTGTAGATTTTGAATTTGACTAGGTATTTCCAAATTGTTCTCAAATAAGTTGCCCTATTTTATACTCCTGTCTACCGCAACAAGGTAGCAAAGAGCTGCCCTCTCCCTGTGGGCTGAAAAATTACAAAAAGACATCCCTCCCAGGACTGACTCAGCTTTCACCAGCAGAGCACCTGCTGGGTTTCCCCTCTCCCCCTCTGCCTCTCCCTAGGTTTAGTGCCTCTGAGCAGTGCACAAACTGCACAAAGTGTGTTGTCCTTGTTGGCTCTGCCCTTCCTGACAGTGTTTATAAGAGTGCCCATTTCCCCCTTGTGTACCATAAACTATTTTTACTTTTGCCTTTCTGATAGATGAAAAGCAGTATATTTTAATTTTTAAAATGAACTTATGAAGAAAAAACCTGCCACTTTTCATTTGATAATGCTTTATTTTCACAAAAGCATATCTAATAATTGAGCACCTACTGTGTGCCCAGTGCTGCTCCAGGTGCCAGTGATACACTAGTGAATAAAACAGAAAAAGATGCCCTGCCATCAGGAATGTACAGTCTAAGTTTACTCTTTGCCCACAAATCTGCATATTTGTTTTAAAGCTCGTATGTGGTGAATGTTAATTAAGGTCTCAGAATTTATATTTCTAGTTGAATGTACTGTGTACTGCTACTTTCCCTTCTATTTCAATAATTTGAGATGAAGAGTGACCCTGCGTCTGAGTACCCGGGGTAGGCTCTAAAAGCTTCTGTTGATGATGAGATACAGTTGTGCCACAAAGAAGTTCTACTAAATTTTGGCATAGAACATTTCATGTAATTATGTACAGTTCTTCTTTGGGTCCAAAAGCTCTAAAATGATGACCTTATGCCCTTTTCAGTTTTGGAACTATTTCTAAGGATTTTTTTTTTTTTTGAAGTCTGCATTTTTTTGAAACCTCATAGCTTCATTGCTTGAAAATGATACAGTGAAAGTACTTTGTATTAAGATATGCAAATGCATTTCTACCTCCACTTCTTTGAAAAATGCAAAAAAAAAAGTTCTCTCTACTTCGAAATGCTTCATATTTATGAAAGCAGTTACAGTGTAGAATACTTGATTCTGTTAGCTTTTAGTTCTTTGATCAATGGAAATTGTTTCCTACCTGCTGTTTCTTCAGCCTTTAATTGTGGCCCAGTGCTTATTCAGTGTTTCTGTTTTAATTTGCATTTAATGAGCTCATTTTAAATGTTTCTTTGTAGTAATCTGAATGGTTTCTCTCTTAAGTTTTGTAATATTAAAGAAAGATTTATGTGACAGCCGGCTGCTTTATGTTGCAGCTCACCTTCCTGGCTTGTTTATTTCACCCTATGGGAGAACATCGTACTGCAATTCCTTTTAACCCAGATTACTATTTCCCCCACTCCTATGTGTCCTCATGAACTAGGACTTTCACCAGGCTAATTCAAATATCTGTTTTCACTAAATAGAAAACTTTCTTCCTTGGATTAATAGGTATTTCAATTCACAATAATGATTTCAGTGTTAGTTCGTTCTAAGGTACTGGATCAGGTGTTGCTGGGCGGGGGGGGGGGCGGGTGGGCCTGTGGGTAGTGATGTGTATATATGGCCTGTGGGAAAGGGACACGAAGAAATATGAGAGACCATTTGTCC